ACCTAAATGCAATGCATGATATTTTTGACATTTTTCAAGATTTTAATAAAAATTAAACATGCACAAAAATGCAAGCAATTAATAAAAATCCTATAAAATGTCAAATAATTGGAGAAAATCTATTTTCTTGGATTTTATAGGAGTATTTCATATGGGGAAAAAATCACATGCTCACACTCATCTACGGAGATTCAGAGGTTTCTTGGTTTGGTCGGTTATTATCATCGCTTCATGGAGGGTTTCTCGTCTATTGCATTGCCCTTGACCAAATTGACCCAAAAGGGTGCTCCTTTCAGGTGGTTGGATGAGTGTGAGGAGAGCTTTCAGAAGCTCAAGACTGCCTTGACCACGGCTCCAGTTCTAGTTTTGCCTTTAGTTTTAGGCTCGTATACAGTGTATTGTGATGCTTCCTGGATTGGTATTGAGTGTGTCTTAATGCATGAGGATAGAATGATTGCTTATGTTTCACGCCAGTTGAAGCCCCGTGAGAAGAACTACCTTGTCCATGATTTGGAGTTGGCTGTCATCGTTCATGTATTGAAGATTTGGAGACATTATCCCTATGGTGTGTCTTGCGAGATATTTACAGATCATCGGAGTTTCCAGCACTTATTCAAATAGAAGGATCTAAATTTGAGGTAGCGGGGATGGTTGGAGATGCTAAAGAACTATGATATTACAATTTTGTATCATTCCGGAAAGGCCAATGTGGTGGTCGATGCCTTGAGTAGGAAGGTAGTATGTATGGGTAGCCTTGCATTCATTCATGTTGGTGAGAGACCGCTTGCAGTTGATGTTCAGTCCTTGGCCAACCAATTCGTGAGATTAGATATTTTGGATTCCAGTTGGGTGCTTGCTTGTGTAGTTTCTCGGTCTTCTTTATTTGATCGCATCAGAGAGTGCTAGTATGATGATCCTCATTTGCTTTTCTTTAGGGATATGGTTCAGCACGGTGATGCCAGAAATGTTACTATTAGGGATGATGGGGTGTTGAGGATGTATGGCCGGATATGTGTGCTTGATGTAGATGGGCTACGTCAGTTGATTCTTTAGGAGACCTACAGTACGCGATATTCCATTCATTCGTGCACCGCAAAAATGTACCAGGACTTGAGGCAGTATTGTTGGTGGAGGAGGATGAAGAATGATATAGTGAGGTTTGTAGGTTCTGTTAGCTCCATTGGGTGATTTTGTACTTAAGAGCGTGTCCGGATTGAGATTTTGGGGTCCGTAGTGGACTTAGGCTTGAAATGGCAAAAATTGAAAAGCTAAAAGTTTGACCGAGAGTGGACTTTGTTGATACGCGGATCGAATTGGAGTTTCGGGAGTTGGACTAGGTCTGTGGTATCCTTTGTGACTTGTGTGAAAATTTGGGGTCAATCGGACTTGATTTGTTAGGTTTCGGCGTTGTTTGTAGAAGTTGGATTTTCTAAGTTTCAATAGGCTTGTATTGGGGATGCAATTCATGTTTTTGATGTTGTTTGGTGTGATTTGAGGGCGTGTCTAAGTTCGTATGATATTTTAATACTTGTTGGTATGTTTAGTTGAGGTCCCGGGGGCCTCGGGTTGATTTCGGATGGCTAACGGATCGAAAATGAGACTTGGTGCATTGCTAAAGCAGGGAGTCTGGTGGTGTAATCGCACCTACGGAGCTTTGATCGCATGTACAAGCTTTATGTGTTCGGTTGTACTGATACTACACTTCTGCACATTGCGTGCAGATGTTGGCTATTGTTGTTGTTGTACTCGATGGTTGCCGGATTTGAAGATGTACCTGCGTTCCTGTTGTAGCTGCCTCTTATTCATGGTAGCCTTATGTCACGACCCCAAATACTCCGGTCGTGATGGCGCCTATCACAGAATTAGGCAAGCCAACCCAACTCTTACCACATCGAATTCTTTTTATAAAATCTTTTTCTAAAACCGATTAGGTCTCAAATTCTTCATATGTAATATAGAAACTAACAGAAATATGCGGAAACCAATACAAAAATACTCAAACACAACCCGAATCTGGTATCACTAGTCATGAGCCTCTAAGTATAACCAAAACACTGTCTGAATAATACAACTAGTCTGAAATAACAAAATACTAAGATAGGAAGGAGGAAGGCAAGGCTGCGAACGCCGTGCAGCTACCTTGCGATCTCCGGATAAACTCTGAGAGTGCTGGAAGCTCTCACTCTGCTGCTCGGGCACCTGAATCTGCACACAAGGTGCAGGGAGTAACATGAGTACGCCAACTCAGTAAGTAACTAAAGTAAATAAAGTCTGAGTGCAGTGACGAGCATTTAAAATCATATAAGAAATCTTAACAGAAATAACAAAACAAATCTGCAGTTCAATAGCCAGTTATCTCGTAAACTCCAATTTCAATTCAAAATCCTTTAAAACATTTATTTAACATTTTTCAATAGAGGCTCAGTATATAAAAGAAGAGTAAAAGCAACAAAATATCAAAAACAAGCCCCTTGAGCCAAGTATCACTCGTAAATATAGCCCATCGGGCAAGCTTCTCAGTCACTCATGACTCAGCTCTCGTCACACAGTACTCACACTCCGCACTCCAACTCAATAAATATCTCATAATAATAATAATCATAATCGTTGCGGCGTGCAGCCCGATTCATAATATATAGTCGACTACGCTCACTGGAGGTGTACAGACTTCAGAGGGGCTCCTACAGCCCAAGCGTCATATTGTTACGGAGCGCGGCCCGATCCATATATATATATAATCCTCACCATTAGGTCCTAAACCTCTCTCAGTCATTAACCTCACGGCCACTCGGGCATATCAATAAAAACTAGGGAACTCAGCCCAAACAGTTTTTATATATAAGAAATAGAGTGATGAAACAGGTTTTAAACAAGTAACAGGTAAAATATGACTGATGATATACTTTCAAATCAAACAGAGTGAGGAAAGTAGTAAAAATACCCCTAAGAGTCTAAACAGGTCGGCACAAGGCCCCAAACACGGCGTACAACCCAACGTATAGTATCAATCACTAAAACACGGAATATCATAAGATTTTAAATTAAAATACGCGGCTTAATAGTCGCTACGGGATGGACCAAATCACAATCTCTACCGGTGCACGCCCACGCGCTCGTCACCTAGCATGTGCATCATCTTATTTATCAAAACAGTACGAAATACCGGGGTTTCATATCCTCAGGTCCAAATTTACAATCGTTACTTACCTCAATCCGAGCGAAACTCTACTCTAAAATGTCCTTGCCTCGCGAGTCAGCCTCCGAATATCCCAAATCTACCCACAAACCGTACAATACAATTAGTAGAGGCTAAAGGGATCAATTCCACATGAAAACTATCAGATTAGAACCAAAAATCCAATATTGGCTCAATCCGGCTCCCGAGCCCACGTCTCAAAATCCGACAAAAGTTACAAAACTCGAAAGCCCATTTCACGAGTCTAACCATAATTTATCAAAATCCGACATCAACTCGACCTCCAAATCCTCAACTTTTATTCTTAAATCTCTAGGCCAAAATTCTCAAAACCTTGTAAACTAGTCGGAAAATTCAATGATAATTCAATATTACGTTTACATGAATACAACATATGAATTTGGCATCTTTGCCGTCCCACCCAAATAATTTGGAATAAAATTCAGATCCAAAACGATTAGTTTGTTACTTCTTATGTTCTTTTTTTTTTCCATATTTATTCTAGCATCCAAATCAGTAGTAACTTATTATACACAATGAAATCCTATAACACACTAAGCAAAATTAAAAGAATTCTACTGGAAAACTCAGATTTGGAGTTTTAAGTAATTACCCGAAATTTTCAGTAAGTACTTCAGATCTCTCCGTTTGTAATCCGTAATCTGATTTAAAACATTGCGTCAGCTTTTCTTTCCCCCTTTGTTGGTTTCTCTGTTCACTGCTTCTGCTAGAGCCAAGCACTCTACCCTCCCATTCCTCTTTGATTTCTTATGTTTGCAGGGAACTCATCAATTTGAATTGTTTCACATGGGATTATTTTAATTCTCTTTTTTTTTTCTTTTCTTTTTTTTTCCTTTTTCTGTTGATCACTGAAGCAAATCCTAATAATGGACCATCATAGTTCTAAAACAAATCACGAAAATTATTGGGGTGTCACACCTTAGATATAAAAAATCTGTTCATGTACTTTTCAATCAGAAAATGTATTTATTTCATATTAACTTTGTAAATTCTATTCTTAGAACCGCTCATAATTTATACTATCAGTACTTGGGGAATGTATAAGATTTAGATAATTTTTTTTGTTTAATTGTCCTATTAATATTAGTGGAATTGGATAGTTATTAGTTGGCTTACCTAGCGGGTTGGGTTAGGTGCCATCACGACTAGTGGATTTTGGATCGTGACGTCGGTATATGCAAATTATACAGTATTATATACATAGTATACATGAATTATACATGTATTATGTATTCACTTAAACGGTTGAATGGAAGGTTATTTCGGTTAATTCTTCAAAAATAAAAATTAAAGGCTTGTAGTTTGGCAGAGATAGTGATTAGGTGGTCCAGCCTCAAAACTCTAGTTGGTCCCTATAATATTTGGTGTTAAATTGGGCAGGCCTAGCAAAAAGATTTGATTAGGCATTATATTGCGCTGAGTTGCCAATTTGATAATATCAAAGTAATATTTCTAACTTTCCGGAAAACTGTATACATTAATAATAGTTGAGGTATAAACAATATTAGATATGCAAAGTTTTATTATACCTAAGAATGCTATTTTTCTCTTGTAGAGAAAATATCAAATGAAATACTATTACTTGAGAAAGCCTTAACAGCATAACTCTTCATTTGTGAAACTTGTAAAAAAAATATAATAAAATTAATTTTTTTCCTATTAGTTAATAGGTTATGTAGGTAGATAACTGACTTTCTTAAATTAGGTTGATGAAAATAAAGATCGTGTATTTACTACTTGTAAGCTGCTAACCCATATATTATATAAGGTCCTCTTCTGTGTGCATAAAAAACCCATACTATACATCTTTTTTTTGTGCCTTTTCTTCGTTGTTTTACCATCCAATTTTGATGTTCTCATATTTATTTTGGGGTCAGCAAATAAAACTCCCTGCCTGTTAAGTATCCAATGGCTCAAGCAATGCTAAAACCAAATCAAGAGGTAATTTTTTATGTGTGTGAAATTTTGAGAATTCAGTTCAAAATATTAAGATATTAGTTGAAGTGATCTAAGATATGATAAACTCTTTTGGAAATTTTTTTACAACTAATGAGGGACAAATGCATTTCTCTAATTAATTAATGCCCTCTCGCATGTGTAACCTAGCTAATTCTAGGGTTTACATGTGAACTTTTTGTTTTACATATAAATTTATGCTCCGTGTTGAAACTACTGGATTTAGTTTAACCCGGCACTCGCTTGCTGCATCTGCCCCTGATTGTTATGACTCGACGGCTTGAATTAAGAGAGAGAAGCCGAGAACGATAAATAAAGAGAAATCGATTATGCAAAGTTGCAAGCGGCACAAAAGTTTGATTCTGATACTATGTGAAAAAATTTGAGCATCCAACCAAATTCTTAAGGTGATGGGTGGAATGGTCTAAGACGCCATATATAAACCCCTTTGAAAAGCCTTTTTATAATCAATACAAGGGATAACTGTAACCCCGATATGTTGAAAATATAATTAAGTAAGCAATTTCGTACTTTCTTTAACAACTTAAATTTTTAAATAATAACGTAATATATTTCAACAGACAAAAAAAATATCTTTGTAATATAGATTAAAGTATGATACTTTACAATACAACAATAATTACGCTTTAGCCCCAAATAAAGTTGTGCTCTGCAATATAAATTCTCACTTCTTTTTTTTTTTCAAACTCAACTCATATCATCGTCATGCAAAAATTTTGTTACTTTAATATGATAAAAAATTATTTTGTAAGTTTATTAGTGAACAAAATAGGTGACCATAGGTGAAATATATCTAAGATGTTCGTGTGCACTATAGTAAATATTCAACTTATATAGCATGACTAAAGACAAGTAACTTTTCACCAGGTTGTTATTGCTGAGGAAGTTGGTCGTGTTAGAGTGCTCACTTTAAATAGTCCTAACCAATTAAATGTCATCTCTATAAAAGTGGTAAGTTTTACAAAATAGCAAGGAAATTAAATCTGATTATTTAATTCAAGAATTGTTTTAAATGGCGTCTTTCCCATTCACAAAAACACATTTTAATTTCCTTGGACAAGGCATTGGTACTAGGACAAAAACTCGAGAAAATTGAGAAAGATGACAATGCACAACTTGTTATCATCAAGGTAAGTATCTTTTTTTTTCCTTTAATCATTTTTCTTTTTCTTTTTCTATAATAGTTTAGAAGTTAGTGACTTATGAAGGGGATCTTGGAGCAACGGTAAAGTTGTCTCCGTGTGACCTATAGATCACGGGTTCGACCGTGAAATTAGCCACTGATACTTGCATCAGAATAGGCTTATGGAATGCTTCATGCACTAGGCTGCCTGTTTAGTCAGAGGTTAGTGATTTACCGATTTGAAACTCAATTTCTAATGGGTACACCGCCCTTCTTTACTTAACTAATATCAAATTTTTTGTCTACAACTGAGTTTGAATGTGTTTCCATAGTCCAGAACCGTGATGAGAAATTATTAGCCTGAGTAGTCCATCCATATTGAATGTTAACTATAGAAGAGATGACCTTCCTCAAAAGAGAATTTACTTCAGAGTTGAATCTTCAATGTCATTTCTTGAGAAGGCTTTCGTTCTGTGCATTCAAATTTCTAACTCCCAAACCTCACCATATTGAAGGGTTAATTTTGATGATGGTCATTCAACTATGTTTCAATTTCACTAAAGTCACTTAACTATTTTTTGTCACTTAAAAATAACTAAATTTTCACATTGTCACTTAAAAGTCATTTTGGCTCAAACTCCTAACATAAATATGACATGGCATAAAGTTTAATGATAAAAATCTGAAATTTAGATCCGTTTTTCCCTTAATGTGATTTGACCTATAACCCAAATGGGTTTTAACACAGGGGGGACACACACCCCTAATAAAATTAATGTGTCCCCCTATTAAAATTAGGTCTTGTGAATACAATATTTAGCCTTTTTTAATACTGGGTTTTATGTAATGCAAAATATATAGGGAGTCGGCCGAGCTTTATCTGTTGGTGGGAACTTGAAACATATTTATGATGGCAGAAAGACAAGTGACTATCTTCTTTTTTCCAATTTTTTGGGGAGACAAAAAATGTTTAGTTGTATAATCTAAAACTATTAAATTATTGACTGTATAATTTCTTAGGGGATTCTTGCATTGAAGGTATTTATAGAATGCATTGGCTTTGCTACCACATTCATACATACAAGAAACCACAGGTACAAATTGTGTGTTGCTCCTCTACAATTCAATTATTAGTAGTATATGATATGGAAAAAAAAAGGAGAGATCATAGATTAGGTTAATTTTACGTATGGTTATTTAACTTTATTTACCATTTTATTGTTATAAATAGATAAAGTTTAATGATCATATGTAAAATTAACCCGTCATAAAGAATTTGCCCTTTCTAACTGTTGATATACTACAGGTTGCTCTTGTTCATGGAATGTGTATGGGGGGAGGTGGATCTTTAATGGTGCCAATGAAGTTCTCTGTTGTCACTGAAAAATCAGTTAGTATACACATACATGTAATTCTGACTTTAATCTCATATGTAAGAGGAGACTTATCATAGTATCTAACTTTTATTTCATTGGTATTATAGTATTTTTCGACTCCTGAAACAAGATTTGGATACCATCCAGACTGTGGCTTCTCATATATGCTTTCACGACTTCCTGGTCGACTTGGTAAGCATTCAAATAGCGTGTGCGTGTCACACACATATATATCCTGAATTTTTAAATTATGCGTACTTAATTATCTTTAAATTGAAAATTACTACTGTGGATGCTCAATTAACATATTTATATTAATTATTAATTTTTCTATATAAGTAATAGTGTATGGCTACAAAAGTAATGGGTGCTCAAGCACCCATAACTAAATACATAGATCCGCTATTGTATATGTGTGTGTTTAAAGTGATTATAAAATAATCTCTTTTTCTTCTAGGAAAAAGGTCCAAATTTACGGATCTACTATATGAAAAACTTAATTTATCCTCTATTATATATACTTAGGAGTCATTTGGTAGAGTATATAAGAATAGTGTTGAATAACGTGTACTAGTAATGTACGGATTAATAATGTATCGGTTAGTAATACAAGCAGTACTAATGCAGAGATTATTTCTTAACCACTATGTGGTGTTGTGCATTAAAAATTAAAATACATTGCATAATTTTTAAGAAAATTAATTGTTTACAAAAATGCCCTCCATATTCTTTAGTTTTAAGGGACTTTAAGGACAATTTTATTCTTAACCATGCTAATGCATGCATTAATAGTCTTGGCATTGCTAATACCATGGTTTACTACGTATTAGTTAATATAGGATAATACCAAATAGGTAGTATAACTGATACTTGTATTAGTAATATATAGGTTTGTTAAAAACGTTTACCAAATAAGGGATTAGTAATACCAAAACTAATGCATCCATTATTTTCTCTAATGCATCCAACCGAACGGCCCCTTAAGGGTTACTCAATCACTTAAAGTTAGCAAATCCTCTTGTATTTTTCCTTGACCTTAATAGATGACCAATTATGGACTAGATAGATCGATTTCACGTGTCAAAATACTCTCGAAAAATGGTCCAAATTTGCCCATCTACTTTTGAACATTATTAAGGTATGAGGCAAAAATGAGAATTTGCTAATAACAAAGATATGAATGAACCTAAAGTATAACGGAGGATAAAATTAAGATATTTATATAGTGGGAGAGTATTATTGACTATTTTGTGTTTCTTCTATGATGAACTAAGGAGGGATTGTTGATATATTCAAGTGACAAAGTGTATATGTAGGAGAATACTTGGGCTTAACAGGTGCAAAGCTGAAGGGTAAAGAAATTGTTGCTGCTGGACTTGCCACTCATTTTGTTCCTTTTGATGTCAGTTCAAACTTCGTTTTTCTCTTAACTTTTTCTTTTCTAGTTTCAACTGATAACCAAAATAAAGGTGTTTGTTAGTCTTGACTTTGTAGTATATACTTTTTGTTCCATCTTTGTGTATACATGGATGTATTTTAGTTATATGCACGAAGAGTGTAAAGAATTTACACTATCAGTGTAATTTATAGCATGTTATAAGGGGAATCTTGGAGCAACGGTAAAGTTGTCTCCGTGTGATCTATAGGTCACGAGTTCACGCCATTAAATTAGCCATTGATGCTTGCATCAGGGTAGACTGCCTACATCACACTCCCTTGGGGTGCGACCCTTCTCCGGACCCTGCATATATAAACACAGGATACTTCATACATCGGACTGCCTTTTTTTAGTGATCATGCATATCAGGCTTGATATGAAAAATTACACACGTTATGTAGGTCAACTTAACCTGATAGTCAGTACAAAGAACATAAAATCTATATTAATTTAATTTCTTAGTCATCTTTAAGTATTTTGTGTTTCTATGAATGTTAGAAATTGGTTTGCTTGGAGAAGAGCTTGTTGAGCTTAACAACTGGAGAAGAGAAGGCTATCAGATCAGCCATTCAAGAATTCTCAACTGAAGTTGAGATAGATGAAAGAAGTATCTTGAACAAGTAAAACATTTATATTAATTTAATGCAATCTTTGTTTATATAATCTTTTGATATGAACTGATATATATATATATATATATATATTTAGGCTTTCCATAATCAATGAGTGCTTTTCCAAGGATTCCATGGAGGACATTATGAAATCACTTGTAAGATAATTCTTCAGTCTTAATGCACATTATGGTGATCAAAAAATATACACCCTTCGTTTCAAATTAGATGAGTTACTTTCCTTTTTAGTCTGTTTCAAAATAAATGACACATTTTTAAATTTGGAAATAATTTAACTTTAAACTCTTCATTTTACCCATTTTACCCTTAATGAGAAGCTTTTATAATCACATAAATATCATGGTCCCACAAAACTTTTATCCCTTAAGCTTTTGAGACCACAAGTTTCAAAAGTTTTCTTCTTTTTATTTAAACTTCATACCGAGTCAAACTACCTCATCTAAATTGAAACGGAGGGAGTACTGTAGTATTTTTTTTGTTTCCCACTTGATGTCTGATACCTGCATTGGGGTCCGATAAAATTCGAATTCGTGCCGGAGAGCCCCATATTGAGGGATAAAGCGCTCTCTAACAAAACGCGACTTCATACCAAGGCTCAAACCCGAGACCTTTGGTTAAGGATGAAGCAGTACTTACCACTCTACCACTAACTCTTATTATTTAATGCTTATCTCATGTTCAGGAAGTTGAAGCAAGGAAGGTAGGAAATGATTGGATTGTAGCAGTGCTCGGAAGCCTAAAAAGATCATCCCCAACCGGATTGAAAATAACACTCAGATCGGTAATTCTTTATCCTTTACCAATATAAACTTGCTTTGACTTCTATACATTTTGAAAACCAAAGAATTTAATTATATACACTGACAGTATAAATATTTTTCACTATTTTAGTGTAGGTTACAACTCACATTCATTCAAAAAATTTATATGTAATATCTTATAAGTAACCTAATTGTGTATAATTTCAAATATTTCAGATTCGAGAAGGAAGAAAACTAACATTGTCTGAATGCCTCAAGCAAGAATTTAGACTTTCAATAAACATATTCGGAACAATCATATCTAGCGATATCTATGAGGTAATTAAATATGTACATATTTCTCAATCATTTGTATTAAAAAAGTTGAACTGCAATAATATCTCCCTTTTGAATCTAAGTTGAGTTTATTTTTCTATTTATAAGGGCATACGGGCTATCACAATTGACAAGGATAATTCTCCAAAGGTATGTTTCTTTTCCTCTTGAAGGGAACCTCAAAACAACGATAAAGTTATTTTGTATGATATGTAGACCATGAGTTAGAGTCGTTGAAGCAACCAGCCACGGATGCTTGCTTTAGGGTAGGTGTCTACATCACACCCCTTTGGGGGTAGCCCTTCTCCGAACCCTGTATGAATGCAGAATATTTTGTGCATCGCGCTCCCTGTCTACATCACACATCCATGTTTGATATAATCACCAACCCAATTTAAATATATTATTCTACATCCGGTCCGTATTATCTGTATTATAAGGTCATCGCGTACACTTAAGAAAGATATCTAATAGCCTTAATTATAAGAGTATATGAACTAGACCACCTTTTGTCTCTTTCTTAAACGTTTCACTTAATTAACACTCGTTCATTGGAGCAGTAACGGGAATTCGAAAAAAAAAGTAACAAATACTTATTTTTCTAAGTCGTCAGATATTTTGAAACAAAATCAATTTGTCAAAATAACTAATATTTGCGTGACTGGAGGAAGTTTTGAGTCATGCAGCGATTTACGAAAATGAGAAAGAACAACAAACAAACCCAATGTAATCTCATAAGTAAAGTCTGGGGAGAGTAATATGTATGCTGACCTTATCGTTATCTTGAGAAGGTAGAGAGATTGTTTCCAATAAGCTCACGACTCAAGGAAAAATGAGAAAGAAATGACAGAATTATGCGAACTTAAACTAACTTAATGTTGCTATTTCATTTGTTCTCAGTGGTACCTTCCAACTCTTGAGAAGGTGAAAGATGAGCAACTCAACATGATTTTCAAGCCATTTGAAGAACATTTGGAGCTCCAAATTCCAGACAAAGAAGAGTTCAGGTTTGTAAGCATTCAAAATTGTTCTTTTTTGCTTCAAAAATTACCTTACATTATATGATTATGTAATAATTCATATAATATGATCAACAGGTGGGATGGAAAATATGAAAATTCAGTATATTATCAACTTAACCAAGAGAGGAATCAAAGAGGAATATCCCAATCAATTGCTCTTGGAACTGATCGTAAACAATCTGCATTATGAGATTATTAGATAACTACTTCTATTTTATTTGTACAAATATATGTTTGAGATCAGTGGCAAAGACGATTCAATAAGGGGTATCATCTGATCATAGGTGGATCCAGAATTAGGAGGATTCGGGTGCCATACTACTTATATATAAACATAAACATATGATAATTTACATGGTCCAAATAAGATATACATTTAGTCGGTTTAAGCTATTTGAGTTTCAATTTCGGGTTATTCATCTTTTAATTTATATAGACAAATGAATCAAACAAAACAATTTATAATTATGACTACTTGGAGAAAAGCATGAAACTTCAATTGGAGTACATGTGTTTTCTACGAGGAAAAAAAGGACTTGATATCAATACATACTTAGATGCTCAAGGCAAAAATTGATGGGACAAACCTATGTGAGCAAATTGAAAAATTCAAAGAAAAAGAAAGAAAGGAAAGATAGAAAGACACAAAAAAAATAAGTCACGAAAGGTAGGCTACAAATGTGAAAGAAGAATTGAGAGCGCAGTTTGCGGTGTCATTCTCTTTGTATTCACATTCGCTGAAAAACCTTTTAGCAGACGTTCTTCTTATAAATAGGCATCTCCTTCTTAAGATGTAAATTATCCCTCAACCCTTTTTTCTCTTCAATTAATAAAGAGTTATTTTTGTGTGACCGTGAAGTAAAAAAAAATTATCGAACCACGTAAATCTTGTCTTATCTTGTGCAATTTATTGCTTTTCTCTTTTAAATATTTTTTCCCTTCTATTAGCCTGACACGCTTCCCAACAACTGGTATCAGAGCATAGATAGTGTAATTCTACTGTCACGACCCAATTCCCGAATTCGGCCGTGATGACGCCTCTCGTGAAGACAAGGCCAACCAAACCAAACAGAACACATCTTTTAAACAATTAAATATGATATATAGTTCTAAAGTATGATATAACATCCATAATTTGCGGAATTATCGATAACCTCAGTAAGAACCATTCCGACACAACCCAAACCGAGGTATTACAAGTCATGAGCAACTAAGAAATCCGGATACAAGTCTACTGAACACTAATTCCGATACAATAGTTCTAAAAACATGAAAATGATAAGATAAGGGAGGCACGAGGCTGCGAACGCCAACAACTACCTCGTAGTCTCCGAATCACTACCTGAACTAGGAGAATCAGCACTCAGGAGCGGATTCTGCGATGCCTAAATCTACACACATGGTGCAGGGAGTAATGTGAGTACTCCGACTCAGTGAGTAATAATTATAAATAATGGTTGAAAGTATGAAAACACGTAAATGCACAAAGCAATTCCATATCAAGCAGTAAAATCACTTAAAGCAGTAAATCAGTAAAGAAATAAAATAATATTCCTTTTTAAAACAAGTAAAATAGGTAATTTAACAGGTAAATAACAAGTAGAAAATTCGCCCCTCGGGCACAGTATCAATCGCTCAAAAAAGTATCAACCCCTCGGGCTTAGTATCAATCACTCAGAACAGTATCAGCCCCTCGGGCTCACTCTCAGATCATAATGGGTACCCACGCTCACTGTGGGTGTGCAGACTCTGGAGGGGCCCCTTACGACCCAAACGCTATATCAAGCCACCTCGTGGCATCATCACTCGGCACTTAGCCTCACATCACTCGACACTCGGCCTCACATCACTCAAGCCACCTCGTGGCATATAAAGTATCTCAGGCCCTCGGCCTCATGTCACTCAGCATATCCTCACATATGTCCCTCGGCCTCACTCAGTCCAAAAATCATCACAAGCCCCTTGGGCATTAGTAAAACAGTAGTTCTCAGCCCAAAACATGATGTGGAAATATCATTTAAGTTTCAAATCTGAGTAAAAGTGTTAGAGCTTGTAAAACAGTAGATATCAACGAGACTGAGCTCAAATAATAAGTCAAGCAGTAAGGAAACAGTGATAAAAATCCCCGAAGGGTTCAAATAGTTGGCACGAAGCCCAAATATGGCAATCAGCCCAAATCATGATGATAACAAATGAATTTCAATCAAATACGCGGTAAAATCATCAATCGGGACTGACCAAGTCACAATCCCCAGTAGTAAAAAACCCCACGCTCATCATCCAGCGCGTATCTTGCCTCAATATAGCACTACGATGTATAATTCGGGGTTTCAAACCCTCAGGACATCATTTACAATCATTACTTACCTCGAACCGGCTAATTCTCTAGATCGCGATGCCCTTGCCCCTCGAATTGGCCTCCACGCGCGTCGAATCTGTCCAAAATCAGAACGAATACGTCATAATATGCTAAGGGAATAAAGCCCAAGCGAAAACATTCGAAAAATATCAAAAATCCCAAAATTAGCAAAAACCGAGCCCTGGGCTCACGACTCGGAATCAGGTCAATATTACATTTTCAGACTCCTCATACCCTCACGAGTCTAACCATACCAAAATTATCCAATTTCGATACTATTGGTCCTTCAAATCATCATTTTACATTTTTGAAAGGTTTCACAATTTTCTTCCCAATTTCCATCCCAAATCACGAGTTAAATGATGAATTAAGTGATAAATTCATGTATTCTAGCCAAATGTGAGTTAAAATCACTTACCCCGATGAATTTCTTGAAAAAACTTTGAAAAATCGCCAAAATCTGAGCTCTCTTGGTCAAAATATTAAATAAAACCCAAAACCTCATATTTACAGAGTACCTCTCAGATTTCAGCCTCCGCGGGCTGCACCAAATCGACCGCGGTCCGCACAAGCCAGTGCGGTCCGCGCAAAAACAACCACGACCACACAAGCCTTCCTCTGCAGTGACAAACTTTAGTATTTTGGCCTTAACGTTTTCTACACATGTCCAAATGGCAATATCTTTACCTTTCTGGAAATTAGATATGAAGGGCTACAACTTTGTTTTTGAATCATCTCGAAATTCCTTGTAGATCAAAAGATATGATCTTCTGAAGTAGGACCAACGAATCGTTCCCCACCGCGGCCGCACACCATTTTGTGCGGTCCGCATGACACCTACTGCGGCCGCACTTCTTTTTGTGTAGTCCGCACAGCACATACCGCGGCCGCTCTTCTTTTTGTGCGGACTGCGCGGGTGGTTTCTGAGGCCTGCAACCCTCCTGGACCTGCTACAGCTATGATTTTCGGCCTAAAACATCCCGAAACCTACCCGGGACCCCCGAAACTTCAAACTAATTGTACCAACACATCCCATGACATCGTTCAAACTTGCTAAACACTTCGGAACGCTTACAACAATATCAAATCACCAATTTAACATAGGATTCAAGCCTAAGAACTCCAAGAACTCTTAAATTATGCTTTCGCTCAAAAAGTCTTTTAAATATCGTCCGAGTGACCTGAAATTTTGCACACATATCCCAAATGACACAACAAAGCTACTGCAATTCTCGGAATTCCATTCCGACCCTTATATCAAAATCTCACCTATCAACCAGAAATTTCCAAAATATCAATTTCGCCAATTCAAGCCTAAATCTTCTTTACAACTCCAAAAACCATTCCGATCGCGCTCCTAAGTCACAAATAACCTCCCGAAGCTAACTGAAGCTATAATCTTTGACCTCAACTTCTGAATCTGGTGACCCAAAATAGCTACTGGATCCACATCAAAGGTCAAATCAACATCCAACTGAACCGTTCTGAAGTCCAAAACATGAGACGGATCCCCAATATACTTTATGAGCATAGAAACATGAAATGTCGGATGCAGACTCGACAAGCTGGGTGGCAAGGCAAGCTCATAAGCCACCTCCCCCATCCTCTGAAGCACCTCAAAAAGCCCAATGAACCGCGGAATCAACTTTCCGTTCTTCCCAAACCTCATAACACCCTTCATGGGTGAAACCTTCAGCACGACCTTCTCACCAACCATGTAGGACACAAATCAAACCTTCCAGTCCGCATAACTCTTCTGACATAACTGCGCTGTACGGAGTCTCTCCTGAATCATCTTAACCTTCTCTAAGGCATCCTGAACCAAATCTGTCCCCAATAACCTAGCCTTTCCAGGCTCGAACCAACCAATTGGAGATCTACACCGCCTCTCATACAAAGCCTCATACAGAGCCATCTGAATACTCGACTGGTAGCTGTTGTTTCAGGAAAACTCTGCAAGCGGAAAAAACTCATCCCATGAACCTCCAAAATCAATAACACAAGCACGTAACATGTCCTCCAATATCTGAATAATACGCTCGGACTATCCGTCCATTTGAGGATGAAATGTTGTGCTTAACTCCACCTGAGTACCTAACTCTCTGTGCACAACTCTCCAAAAATGCGAAGTAAACTGAGTACCTCTATCTGATAGAAACCGACACACATGCAACCGAACAATCTCCCGGATATAAATCCCTGCCAACCACTCTGAAGAATAGGTAGTACACACAGGAATAAAGTGCACGGACTTGGTCAACCGATCCACAATCACCCAAATAGTATCAAACTTCTTCAAAGTCTGAGGAAGTCCAACCACAAAGTCTATAGTGATTCTCTCCCACTTCCACTCGGGAATAACCATCTGCTGAAGCAAGCCACCCGGTCGCTGATGCTCATATTTTACCTGCTGGCAGTTAAGACACCGAGCTACAAATCCCATAATATCTTTCTTCATTCTTCTCCACCAATAGTGTTGCCTCAAATCCTGGTACATCTTTGCGGCACCCATATGGATAGAATACCGCGAGTTATGGGCCTCCTCCAGAATCAACTCTCTAAGCCCATCCATATTGGGCACACAAATCCGGCCCTGCATCCTCAACACACCATCATCACCGATGGTCACATCTCTGGCATCATCATGCTGAACTCTGTCCTTAAGGACAAGCAAATGCGGATCATCATACTGGCTCTCTCTGATGCGATCATCTAAGGAACACCGATAAACCACACATGCCAACACCTGACTGGGCTCCGAAATATCCAATATCATGAACTGATTGGCCAAGGCCTGAACATCAACTGCAAGGGGTCTCTCCCCAACTGGCATATATGCCAAACTCCCCATGCTCACTACCTTTCCGCTGAACGCATCGGCCACCACATTGGCCTTTCTCGGATGGTACAATATAGTGATATCATAATCCTTAAGCAATTCCAACCATCTCCGCTACCTCAAATTAAGATCCTTTTGGTTGAACAAATGCTGAAGACTGCGATGATCGGTGAATACCTCACAAGACACACCATACAAGTAATGCCTCCAAATCTTCAATGCATGAACTATGGTAGCCAACTCCAAATCATGAACAGGGTAGTTCTTCTCATGGGGCTTCAACTGATGAGAAGCATAAATAATAACTCTACCCTCCTACATCAATACACAATCAATCCCAACTCTCAAAGCATCACAATACATGGTATATGAACCTGAAGCTGATGGCAAAACCAACACTGGAGCTGTGGTCAAGGCTGTCTTGAATTTCTAAAAGCTCTCCCTACACTCGTCCGACCATACAAATGGAACACCCTTCTAAGTCAACTTGGTCAAGGCGATGCGATAGATGAGAATTCCTGAACAAACCGGCAATAATAGCCTGCCAACCCAAGAAAGCTACGAATCTCTATGGCTGAGGACGGTCTAGGCCAACTTTGAACCCCCTCTATCTTCTTTGGATCAACCTGAATACCCTCGTTGGACACCAC